GTAGGTTCAGCAACTTCCTATATGTTCATATATGTACAAACAAGTCTTCAAACTAAACTGACTGTACTGATTCATTATTTTCACTAACCGAATCAGTAGCTTTTAGCAGTGGTGCTCCCCTCATTGATAGCTGGTACAGCAATGTTTTAACAGAGCAAAATAATATGAAACGTCTACCTCCACAGGAGGCAGCAAACACTGTCTTTAAAGAAACGCATTTAACACAGCTTAACTGGCTGTAAAGTCCCTTGAAGTGCTTGGCTAGGAACCCAAAGACTTTGACCTAGAGAGCCGATGTAATGCACACAGTATCACCATATCATCTTGTCTACACCCACAGAGACAGATGATCTCTGTGTCACTGGATAATTGAAGTGCTGTTCATATCAAGGATGTGATCCTGAGAGGGATGAGAAAGTGTCATCTTAAAGGCCTGTGAATAGACCAGAGGAACAGACTCAAGTGAGTCCAGAACCAACAGACAGGGTGTATCCACAGCCTCCCCACAGCTTCAGTCTCTCAGACTGCAGCCTCTGACCTATACATGTGATTGGTGTGCTCACTCTGCTGTGACAGGCCTACACATCAAAGAGGAACCAGATTTTCTTGCCAGAATTAAGTACGTGATGAGCCGGTGTCAATTTTGTCTTGATTCAAGACACTTCAGGAACTGGACTGAGATCAGCTCACGGGTTGGGGATGAGCCAGCATTGATTTCTGATGGATCAATAAATTGACTAATGAATAAGAGCCCATTACTAACCAATCAAACTAATAGCACTTTAACTGCCTCTTTGTTTCTTCTTTTCCATCAGCTTAACAGAACACACAGGAGGCTCGATGCTCCAAAACTGACGATTATTGTAGAGGAAATACCCAAATACAAAGCAGGAACAAGACTAAATTCAGCAAGAGTCTCCCTCTCCAGGTCAGAACAAAAACTGTGTTTTCCTACTTGACACTAATACTCATATTCTCCTTGTGGACACAACTCCACTGACCCTCTTGTTTGGTGTGTGAGTAGAGCAAGAAGCACATGATCACAAAGAGCGGCCAAACATGATTGTCCCCCTCCTCATGACCTGACGGTAATTGGGGTTTGTTTGCTCTCTTTTCTCCCTCTTATGTGTCGCTGGGTGGTAAAGAGTGCTATTACTGTCACCTGATTAGTATGGCTCCTCTGCCCCTTCCAGGAGCTGTAAGGACTGCCTAATGAGAGGAAACTTGAGAGGCCTGCACCCACACACAGACACACACACACACACAGGAACTTAAACATAGTGTACACTGACTGAGACAGATTCATTTGTCCTGCTTTTAGTTTATTTATTGCTTCTAGCATTAAGTAACCTACATCTGTCCTGTTGTCCTTCTGTGAAAACGTTTGTTTTACACTTGTTTTAGCAGAATACAGTAGCACATTCAAGTACTTTTCTTTTTTGTAGATTGAAAAATAAGGGCCGCCTCAAATAGCTGGTGTCTCCATACTATATTTGGCTATGCAGATAAAGAAATATATGAATACACAGAGAGATGCATTATATGGCACATAGTATCTATATGAAATGCTCCCCAGAAATAAAAAAATAATCCGAGTCATATCATTATTTTCCTTCATCTTAAATAAAAATGGGATGCATATGAAGGACCAGTACCAAACCCTAATAGATCTTTCAAAATTGCTCTCTTAATACATCAAGCATTCACACCAGCCCTTGACAACTCTATCTTCTTTACATCTTAACACAGCCCAGAGTCCTCAGGGCACCCAGGAAAATTAGCCATTTAATAGCAATAAATAACTGATTCTGACTCAAGGGGACTTCAAATCAGGCCCTCTCGCCCACAATCACACAAAGAGTAGCATCAAGATTAACACCAGCCCAACACAGCCCAGTCAAGTGTTTTTGACTGAGATAGCACGCCATATATAACACACATTTCCCTTCTATTCATGTACACACAATACCCTTATAACCTTGTTAGAATGTGACAGCTTTATAAAAACTCGGACACAGTCTGTGGTGCATTTTTTGCTTATTGTTGTTTTGTTTAGAAAATAAGCATCTAATCTAATGTATAAGAGGAATCAACTGAAAACAAAGAACATAATATTGTATACCAAGGTTACCTTCAGTTATAGTGTGTAACTATAAGTGCATGTACTCAAATGCAAATTTGAGGTAACTGAGTATTTTCATTTCATGCTACGTTATATTCTGATTCCGAGGTGGAAATAATAATAATCAGACAATATATTAAAAAGCACTCCCATATGCTATTTACTTCACAGGGAGCACTTTTATGTACTTTTTATGATTTAAGTACATTTTGATAATATTTCTTAAACAGTTTGCTTAACTGATATTTTAAATACAACACTTTTATTTTTAATTGAGTATTTTATATGGGAACGTTGCTACTTTTACTTAACTGAACTGTTGCTTCCTTTAGCACTGGATACCAACAGGAATTTCTTCTACACCAAGATGATTCAGTGCTGCTTCAGACTTTTTTAAACCCATACAGCATTGTTACATCCTAGCATTTAGCTTTTATGTCAATAGCATTCCCATTAATACATTCTTCTTTCCTTGTTTTTCTCTTTTTCCCTCTTTGATGGTGTACAATGTTACAAGCACTTATATTAGTCAAAATGGAGCATTGATTATTTGCAAAAACATAAGTGCAAATCAACACTGCAGAGGGACAGATGAGAGCTGCCTACCTGTGCACACACAGGAAAAGGGGGCAGTTATTGACCAATTGATCTGATGTGAAAGAGGGACATTATTTTTCTCAGAGTGGAAAAACCTTGACTGTAAGGTTAGCAATCACTCCACCACCTCACCTCCAAATACAGCTACCTCTAGCACCCAACTGTGTCCTCAATCTCCACTCCAATGGGTTCAGGTATGCAACTTTTCCGTCACCAGTGTCATGTATTTGGCTTTCTATTTCACTTTAATAGGGGAGAAATTGGCAACATATTCTTTTACAGCCCCCTGGCACCATTAGAAGGCCTGCTGTCATTTGGATTATGTATGAAAAACTATTTCATGCTTACTTACATTTGCTGCTTATTTTCCCCTAGTGTGACCTGCAGCAGATTTAGTTCCATTTTGAAAGCCTTAAAGCCAATTCTTTATGTCTGCAGGTCAGCATTCTCGATTGAGTTAAGATTGAAATACCAGCGTGTAGTGGGAAAGGTATAGCAAGAAGAAACCAATAATCTTTTATTGTGTAAAGGGCTATAGTAAAAAGAAAAGAAAGGGGGAATTCTGAAAGAGGCAAAACGATAGAGGATGAAGCTGGGGGAACGGGGGTCATTTTTCGGTGGGTATAGAATTGGAGACACCTGCAGAAATAAGAGGCAACAAAAGTTGAGGGATGAATAGGCCACAAACATCCAGATGCTCGTGAGTAGCAAAGACAACAATGACTGGCCAAGAACTGAGTCAGCAAACTGGCACAGAAAGCAAAAACAGAAAAGGCATAAAAAGAAAGCGACCTTAAATCCACAAGATTTTATTTTTCATCCAAAAACATGTCAAACAACTTTCTGGCGTGGTGTTTTACAAAGACTACAATGATAAACTCTGCCGGGGGATTATTGTTGTGATTTTTGTCCCCCCTCTGTTTCTAGAATCTATATTCATATTCTTGTCTGTACAAGAAAATTGGCAATCTTTGTCTTTCAACATATCAAATAAATCAAAATAAACTTCTGAACTAATGCGCTCGGCAGACCAGGACAAAGCAGTCACACTCCCCTTTGGAACAAGCATCTATACTCATAATCCTATACTGTATGTGATGGGCTCTGTCACTCCCCATTGCACACACACACACATACACACCTTTGATCTGGATTTGGCCTGGGCTTTATATAGTGACCCTCATAAACTACGGTGTGGCTGGGCAGGTTTGTCACTGTCACAGGTAAATGATGTAATTAATGAGTGTGTAGCGGTGTGGATGGGACCTGGGGTGCTAGCTTTTAAACACCTCTCCAGCTGACTGGGTTTGGGGAGGCCCAGCTGGACATAGCCAGTGGATCAATACGGGGTCAGGGGTCAACCCTCCCATTACAGCCAAGATAGCTCCCATCATCGTCTGGCTAACGATGCCTGCAGGAGGGCCAGAGATGGAGCCACTGTTGGGAGAGGAAGCAAAATTCATGGGGTTTGGAACTGAAGCTAGCGCAGGTTGAAGCCAAAAATGCCTAACTGTGATGTATGCTAACATATATCTGTAGGCTGCATGAATCTGTAAGAACACATGGTGGAGTATCTGGCAGAGTTTACTGTGGTTGGAGACTCCATATTCTGTTTTTGTCAGGTCACACCTGAACGATAACACCAAAAAAGTCCATCGCTCCAACACATTGTATTTTCACATATTAAAATTAACAAAAACCCCAGTGGTAGAAGTATGATGAAATAATTTGTCTCCTATTATATGTTGAAATAAGACAGAATATGGAACATACTGACAGATTTCTACAAAAGTATCACGAAAAGGGTGGTTGATTTGATTTTTCAATTGTAAACAGGTACAACAATCTCAATATAGTGGTAGATTATTTATGCTATGTTGAGGAAATATATTTGAAAAACAAAGAACCAGTAAAGATGAAGATTCCTGGCAATGTAGAGCTGAAAGAAAAAAGTTAACTCAACTGTATAATAAATTAACCCAAATGTATCTGTACTGATGGCCTGTGGCTAACATCACTACTGTTGCTAATGAGAAATGGACAAAGGACAGCAGGGGAGCATGGAAAACTGGCCAAATCCGTTGAATCAATAACTGTAACCCTAGAGTGCTTATTGTTTGAAAAAAACTAAACTTTACCTAACGTTTTATGTGACAGGTAGCCTTGAGCCTCTGGATGCTCCTCCCCTTAAACAGGCAGTTGGCAGCTCTCAGTCTTAGGTGGCCTTCCCATCAGGCATGTACTGTTTAATGAGACGCACCTGTGTAAAGATGAGGTGTACTGTCTAATGAGACGCACCTGTGTAAAGATGAGGCTGTTTTTGTAGGTTCAGGCAACATGAGCTCTTTAACACACATGCCATGGATATTCCTCTTCCTGTGCAGTTGTGAGGTATGCTGATCTCTTTTTTTTTTATTCCAGATAAACCTGTACTTTTAGTTATAGTGCCGTACCTATTTTGTTTGTAGGCTCATTTCATGAACACACCAAACATCACTCATGTCCTGGTGCCACTGCACGTTTTCACCATGTGCAAGTGCAGAGAGCAAATGGTTCTAAACTACTACTCAGATCAGTCCCACCTTACTCCCAGAGCCAACTACAAAAAATAGATAAAACATTTAGCAGTAGAAGTTGTGTTAGCCATTGAATGATGCTGTGCAACAATATGAAGCTCACACATATTCCAAAAGAGTGCAGCATATTATAACAGCACATAAAAACAAGGAGGGCAAAATAATGTTACAAATTTGGTAATAATAAAAACTGTCATCTGGTGACCTTACTGTTTTAGATTCCACAAATTTAAAATAAAGAAATAGATCAAAATCTCTTGGTTCTCAAAATTATCTCTGATCTGGCTGACTTTAAATGTTTGTGTGTGTTAATGCAAGAGTTGAAGATAACACCGAATCATTCTTTCAACCCTTCCTCTTCTTTTTTTTTAAATGATACCTCAGTGGGTAAAATATGCTCTTTTTTTAAGCAAATCTGGTAACATTTTTGTTTTGGAAAAGATGTTGGACTGCCATTATTTAATTACAATTTAATGTGGAAAAGTGACTACTCATATTGTCTCAATCAAAACATTATTTGCAGAGAAGATGGTCAGTTTATTAAAGATAACTGGCTCTTTCTGGGGTTTTAAGGCTGCTGAGGTTGTTGGGAATGGAATTTTACATTGCAGATGTTAGATTTAAATTTTTTTTTTTATTCTACGATTTATTTTTATCACTGCTTACAGATGTGCTGTCAATTTAAATACAACTTTATTAGATTTGTCATCTTGTTAATTTCATCTTAAGAACTGATTTAAAGTTAGATTTTCATCAGTAGCCTAACATCACTGCATTGTCCATGAATTGACTCCTATTAATACATTCTTCTACAACAAGGGTCTCTGTTATGTCATACACCGCTCTCTTCACCCACATTTGTTGTCTTTATCTATAAGTAGTGCAATTGAACGAAGACAACAGTGTCAATAAATGAATAAATAAAAGGTGTATGCCCAGGCCATTCAGTAACTCCACAATTACAGTATATGAGCTATTCTTTCCCCCTTTATGAAGCCCAAACATTTCACTTTTATTCCTCTGTATAGATAATGTAGTTGTATAAAGTAATTCATGGATTATTTGTTTACAGAAATAAAAATGTAATGAGCTGAGGCCTCATGTATCTAAACTCCTTTCACATTAGCAACTCGGTTCATTTCAGACCACTCAGACTCAGTAGTCCCTCCAGTTGAACCGTATAGAGGTCAAAACTCAACAGCTAGTCTAATTTAAAGTGTGCCTCATATTTAGGAGCTTTGGGGGGGGGGGTTTTGTTTGGTTTTTTTGTTTTTTTATCCTGTAGGTGCCCCAAGGAAAACTGTGACCGTTTTTGTTCATGATGGTGATACATTATTAATATTACAGCAGGCGAGCATGGAAAATTGTTCCTGGACAGATATGGTTTGATCAATATCCTCAAGGGGCAGAAGCCTCATTAATCTTAAACTTCCCTCACATTAGCAGGACTGTCCAATTCAGACCACTCTTTACTCGCACTCACTCACCACTCCAGCAGATCCATACAGAGATCAAAACTCAACAGCTAATTTAGAGTGCACTGGAGTTTTTAATGCTGTGAGCTCCCCAAGGAATATTGGAACTGGTTTGTTCATGATATCAGGTTGATGAATTATGGCTATTGTACAGATCTTAATTTGTAAATTCAGATCTGTAGTGGACTTGCCAGTCTTTAAGTCTCTGCTTAAAATGCATTTACTGTATTTTTCATGGCCTTTGGATCAAAGTGGAGTTGATATGACTCCTCTTTGAATGTTTTATTGTCTGTCTTTTGCTTTTTATTGTGGCTTATTTAAAGTACTTTGGTCAACAAGTTGCTGTTTTTGAAGTGCTGTGTAAATTTTGATTTAATACTTTATAAACCATCAATGTTTTAGTTCTGTCAGGTGAAACTTTTTCATGATTTTTCAAGAGGTGGAGAAATGTTATTACATTTAGTTTGGCTATTCTACAATTCAAAATCATGAAAAATGCCAATTCTGTAAGATTTTTGTTTGCTAACCTGACAATCTGTGCCCTGCAATGCAAGTTTATTTACATACTTTAGCACAGTTTAACTACAAGGTGCTTCAAACTGCTTTAAGATATAAAGATGCCTAAGGAGAAGATATAGAAGAAATACAAGACACATTTTAAAGGAAAATAAATAGATGATAAAAATAAGCTGAAATAAAATTAAGCTTTTACTGTATAGTAATTAAGGAATTTACTTTAGATCGCTGTTCATAGTGCAGGTACCACTGGCAACATTTAGAGACAAGTGTACCTATGAAGTGATTAGTCCATTTAATCGATTAGGTATTTTACAGAAAATGAATTGAAGACTATTGGATTACTATTAATTAGAAAGATTTGATAATCAATTAATTTAAATCATGTTTAAGCAAAAAACAAACATACAGATGTTTCTGCCTTTATCCTGTGATTGTAAACTGAATATCTTTAGGTTTTGGACTGTTAGCTGGACAAAAACTTTAAAAAATGTCACCTTGGGCTCAGAAATACTTTAATCTACATGTTTCACTATTTTTTGACAGTTCATAAACCAAATGTTTAATTGAATAATCATTAATAGAAAAAAAATCTTCAGACTAATCAAAAATAATCATTGCAGCAACCCTAACAAATAAAGAGATCTTTGTTGCGTTTCAGTTGGAGTAATGAAGATGACGGTTAAGATCAGCACTAAATGTGAGCAGTTGATACTTTGTGTGACCCACTGGTGTTTAAAGATGTGCCAGTGGATGCACTATCTTCCTATGGACAGGCTAAATCTATTACCAACCTTTCTGCGGTGTGAGTGAAATGCTCGTATTAGGGCAACTGTGCATTCAGAGGCATCCTTCAGGACAATGAACTATAGCCAGGGAGTGACAAGCTAGAAAAATGTCCCCACTTTTCAGGCTGTACAAATGACGTTTGGCCACGATAACTCACAACCGGACACTTCATTTCAAGTTGGGAGCTAGCTGGCCAGTCAAAAGCTATTATACCATCTTCTTTATTTGTGGCCCCTGGTTTTGGTAGTGGGACCATCAAATAAATACTGCTAAAATGCCACTTCAGTCAAAAATATTGGCGAATTCTTTCTCTGTCGTGACTGGGTCCGGATGGCAACCTGTGTCTAATGGTATAAACCTTTAAGAGTCAGGTGGTCAGGCAGCTGGCATCCATCAGGCCCAACAGCACCATGAGTTAGTGTTGGACATATATGCAAGTGAGTAAAAGTGACCAATGTTTCTGATCCCTTGCAGCCATTCTCAAAGCTTAATAAATTAATTGATTACCAATATATCACTGGGAATTGCTTGCTTAGAGGAATAATCAGTCACCGATTAAAAAAAAAAAAAAAGAAATGGCTATGAATACATTTCAAGGATGACAATCTTTGAGGAGTAATAGTATAATTCGTCACTTGTGACAGTCTATTTGATTGCTCTCGATATTTCAGTCTGGTGGAATATTGGAAAGAATCATGCCGGGTTGTCAGAGCCAGGCTGAGGTGTGTGTGAAGTTGAATGACGCTTTAATACGGTAATAAGGCAGCCAGAAGAACACTTAGACTTTCTAAGGTGACAGCAGCTTTATCGTGCATCACCTCATAAACTCCCATCATATCTGTCTGCCACTATTATCAAATGAGTGTTTAGTGTGTTTGTGTGCAGTGATGACAAGAGAGCACAAAAAGATCAGCATGAAAAGTGAGTGGATTCTTGCTGAGGCCAGAAATACTGTAGATTTTGACCTTTTTATAAGGGGGGGGGGGGGAAGCCCATCTTCCCATTCTGGAGTGAAACATTTCTCTTTTTGCTTCTCTTCCCTGCTGAAGCCCAGACAGCTGTGGTCAAACTTAGGTCAATAAAATGTCTGTCTGTCCATTGAGTTGCCACATCTATCAAATGATGAAAGTTTGTCTTTAAAGGAGAGATAGAATTCAGTGGAGAGACAGTGGGCCCTTTCTGTGAGACATGCAGGAAATTAATCAAGGAAATGGGGTTTTTGGTGTGCCTATATCACAACTAATCTATCCTTTGTCCACATGTAGCCGGCTCCAAGCCTCACCAATCAAGAGCGACATGCTGGCTTTATGAAAAGCCACTTGTTCCCTGCATAATTGGGGGGGTCTCATGGCTGAGTTAAATGTGAGGTGGAGGGAGGTGCAGTCGTGTTTGCCCATGTAAAGTGTGATCCAGATAATAGCATTTTCATCAAAGGTGGCAATTACATTCATTACAACGGCACAAGGCATGCCTGCAAGGAAATTAAGTGGTGAGAGGAAAGAAAAGCCTAATATATACCTCTTTTATCCTTTCCCCCCACCTCTGTTCTTTTTCAAATGCTCCATGTGGAGCAGGAGACCTCAAGAAAGAAACAGTCACAGTAGAAGAAGAATAAATCTCGTCAAAGTCCCCCTTCACCTTTTTACCTCCAAGAGGCTCCTGTCTTCCGTTACTATGGCTGCACTTGTCTGAAAGTGAAAAGCTTTTCTAGGATGGTAATCTGAAATGCAGCTTTTACACAAGCCCAACAAATGATACCAAGTCTTAAGAAACTGCTTAAGAACTGCCCTAAATTAAATTCCCATTTCTTTCCAGTAAGGAGAAGCAAATTAATTGGCTTGTGTGGCGTTAAACCACAGCTTGTAAAGCAGCCGGTTAAGAGGAGAAGGGAACCTTTTTATTCAGGCCTTTTTAAATGTGAATCAGAGCAAGTGGATAACACTGCAACCTTCTCAAAGACAGGTGTCGTCCCAGAGCCTATTCTGCATGTGGCAGTGTATATTCACACTCGCTCATATCATTTAGATTAGTCTTGTTAAGACTCTGACTTCAAGTCAGACCTTTACAAAATGTTAAGTATGAGTTATTGTATAAATGTATCAAAATACACAAATGTTGGATTGTGTTTGATTTATCACAAGTTATGTAATTACAGTATATCCGTGGTTGAAAGTACTCCATTCAGCATCCAACACATATTTTCACAAAGAATGAATTATACTGGAGGAAGTAATTTCTATTCCAGCTTCCATCAGTGTGACCACAGCATTATTGGGTGTAAATGCCAACCCAAATAAGACTTATGGAGTATTACCTGTTCTCAGTCTCATTAATGCATGCTCACTGCCCTTTAACAGAACAGCTTAATATAACATGCAGTGGACATGTCATTAATGCAAAATTTAAGTTTGACTAATTATTACCCTTAAGTTGTTTAGGCTTAATAAATTTGTCCTTCAAACCAAAGGCCGCAGTAGTACTCACTGCAGCAAGTACAACATAAGACTATTATTTTAATTATTTCTATCATAGGAATTAAAAACAAAACTGCTGAAACAAATGAAAGCATTGAGATGCCAACAAATCATTATAGGTTGTGTGTAAATTATTCAACAGGATCTGGTCCCGGTGGAAACCTGAGCATAATTAAATTACAATAAAATAATAATAGTGTGGACAGGTTGTTAGAAGGTGGTGTAGTTGGCTGCTCCAGTGGTCACGGTTCATTTGATGAGGTCGACTGTCGCATATTCCATTGGCCTATGTACTGTCCCCTGGGACTTGGCAGCTGACAAAGACAGGACTCACCTACTGACTATACACTGAGCGTTCAGTGTCTCTACACTGATAGCCACGATCTGTGTCGTCTTAATGAGTCAAGCCTTTTCTCTAAGGTTAGGATTTATGAATCATACTTGCCTACATGGCTTAGCTTTGTAACTTGTGTCATATGGAGTAATTGTCTCAAACTGTGCAGTAGAATGAGAAATACCTGTTTCACCACTGAGGCATGTGCACCATCTAGTGTTCAAATACTGAACTGCACTCGCATGTGGGCAGGCAACAGCAGGTGTGCATGCAAAACCAAACCTGCTTGTTAAAATACTCAGTTCTTTAAGGTGACATGCATACAAGTGATACGCAGGCCAGTTTACTATACAGAGTATTGTGTAAATTGGCGGATAAACTTTCAACACTAAATGAGTGACTTGTGTTACAAAGTAGAGATTTCACTGGTAGCAGTTTATATTACTTCTATAGCAGTAGCAGTTGTAATATGGTAAAATGATACAGCAGCTTCAGTTGACTTGGTCATTTATCACCTTGTTCCTTAGTGGTTTTCCCACAACTTTGACACATTGGGGCAATGTGATCTTCACCAAGCACTTCCTGGTAAATTATTGATTGCAATAAAATATGAATGAGTCAATAGCTTTAGAACGTAATGCAGTTGCTGTGTCTCATTTGCCACTTGTGCATAATTGCAAGCTGTACATTCAGAAAGTGTCATGTCAAGGATGTGAATGGACATGCTATCAGTTAACTTCATTAGCTGGTGGCAAGAGATGTTTCAAATCTACATATCAGAAAACATTACCAGTAGTGTGGATGACATCAACGATATAGCTAGAAGATAGATTTCAATGATGAAAAATGACATTAGTGTCAATTTTTATTACTAATACCCAGAGGTGCTACAGTACATAGAGATTTTATAAAACAGGGTACTTCCCATTTAAACCTGGACTTGAACAGTCAGTGTTGAGAAACGCTAAGTCAGTGGTATGACATCATCATAAAGCCTATGCCAGTCTAAAATTATGGATTTTCTATTTTACCTGAAAGCTAAAAACACAAAACACACAAATAAAATTATCTCCTCTATAAAATGTGGTTTAGCTACTTGGATAAGGTTTGTACAAAGGTTTTCACTTGCACTTATTTTAAAAATGTGCCGACAAAAATGGTAAGCTGGTGCATTGTCGAGTCTTATTGTACTCTGCACATTTTTTTTTTTTTGATCTCATACATTGTGGACACCTGTATTGTTTTCTTTACAGCTCAAGTGGTGGGAACCTTTCTTTGAGGGTACATTGTGCTCATAGTGGGACGGTTTTCATCGGTGCACACAATGAACTTTCACCTTGGTTTATTGTTTTGGTCCAACGGATTGTTTTCACGTATGCATTGTAGCGAATGGAAAAAAATTAAAATCTAGTGGTACTCTTTAAGATTTAGTCAAACACGTGCAGACAATGTAAATAATGACCATGTCGACCAGATACCGGTGTTGCTTTTGAGAAAGATGCTTTCGCTAGCATAAGCTAACGTTAGCTGTGTGGCTAACGTAGCGTACGTAGCTTTGGTAACAACATGACGATGATGAGGAGCGGTGTGTAGCAGCGACCGACCAGACACTGGGTCGCGGCGATTTCCTGCTTGTCAATCACCGATTTCCAGGATTATCCTGTCTTTGTGTCTGGATAGCCACAAAACGTTTTGTTTGTAAGCAAACAAAACTGTATACATTTAGGTAACTGCCAAGTTATTTTCGAAGAGGTATGTGTACATATTTTTTTAACAGAGAGCTAACATTAATGACGGTGATACTTTTCCAATCTGGTTGGCTGTATTTTTTTAATAATAATCTAGCCACTTTTCATTTTCATGCTATCAATCTTTGCTGTTAAATAACACATCAAAACGTCTTTTTAGTGTTGGACATATACATTATTTTGTTTCAATGGGTGAGGAAAAACCGGACACGCTGGACTTTGTGAAGGATTTCCAGGAGTATTTGAGCCAACAGACTCAACATGTCAACATGATATCAGGCTCTGTCAGTGGTGTCAAGGAGGCAGACGAGCTGCCAGCAGGTAAATATTTGTGTCATTTAAATGCTTTAAAACCTTTAAAACCGGTCTGTGTAATTCCGTTAAGCATCTCTGATTGGTGCAGACAGTTTAGTTTAGGTAAACGGATGACAGATGCACAGGTAAGCATTATCTGACTTAGATGCTTCAAATAGTAATTTCAAGAGTGTTATTGTTTAGGGTGCCTTCAAAATAAGTCAGACATGGACATTCTTAACCATATGATCTTTCAAAAGGTCTGAAATTTGTTTAAATCATTGGCAGTTTAATGAATGGCTGGCTTGTAATTTATAGTACCACTTATTACATTACTTTTTACATTAAAACAGCATAAGTAACAATGACGAAGAAGCAAGAGTCTACAGAGCATTTATTAGTCTTGGAGTACATGGTACAGATGACTTAAAATACCAGTTAGTTTTACAAACAGATCATGCAAAATGAGACCCTGAGGCAGCAAGTTCCTGAACAAAACCTCACCAGTTGAGGCTAAAATGCATGTAGTTTGTCTGAGGATATGTTGGTTACAGTAGAAATTCAAGTCTTTGTCTTGAGCAGACTTTAATAATACTGTTCAAGCCGTTTCTGTCTTTCACAGTCCAGACTGTGAAACCAGAAAATAAGAGATTGACAGGACACACACCACAAAAGTGGTAAACACAGCTGAGAATGACAAGACTGAAGGAAAAGAAGTGTAGTTTGCTGAGGTGTATTCTCTGCTGCCTCCACTTCACAGTAACATTTGTATTTACATCAAGTTGAAGCTGATCATCTCAAGTAGAACCCAAGTGGCTTCCCAGTAAATTCAAAGCAGGAACTGTATTCTTGATAAGACTTCAGATTTTTTGTGTTTCCCTAGGCAATAAAGTATTATCTGAATTTGTATGGTATGCTGTTTCATTATTTTTCTTTGAATAAATTGCGAGTCTTGTGTGCAGATTGCAGTCAGAATGGACTGGATCATCCATCAGTGGACATGTCACTTGAGGACAGCTCAGGGATCCTGGTGGATGGTTTTGAGAGGACCTATGATGGTAAACTCAAGTGCCGCTACTGCAACTACGCCACCAGAGGCACAGCCCGACTTATTGAGCACATTCGAATTCACACAGGTGAGTGTTCATAGTTCATTTTCAGGAGATGACATCCACAAGGTTTTGTTATTTAACCTTTTTCCTTACTTGAACAGGAGAGAAGCCTCACCGCTGCCATCTCTGCCCATTTGCTTCGGCCTATGAGCGCCACCTGGAAGCTCACATGCGATCACACACAGGCGAGAAGCCGTATAAATGTGAGCTGTGCTCCTTCCGCTGCAGTGATCGTAGCAACTTGTCTCACCATCGCCGCAGACGCCACAAACTCCTGCCAATGAAAGGTGCTCGCTCACTTTCTCATAAGAAGATGCTGAGTGTTTTACAGAAGAAGGCCAGCTCACTGGGCTATGGCCGCCGGCTCCTCATCAACTTCAGCCCCCCTTCTATGGTGGTGCACAAGGCTGACAATATGAACGACTTTTCTCATGAGCTACCCCACTTACATCAGGAGACCTATGATAATCAAAGTCGAGCAGTCAAGGATGGACTCTCCACAAATCAAAATAACCGCCACCATGATATGGTTATGGATAATCCTCTAAACCAGCTGTCCACCCTGGCAGGCCAGTTGGCCAGCCTCCCTTCTGAGTCCCAGGCTCAGACCCAACTTCCCATGTCTCCTGGAGCTGAGTCTATCGTCGATGAGAAGCCCTTCCTTATCCAGCAGCCCCACCCTGCCACAGCTCCAGTGGCTGTCACAGCCAGCATGACCCATGCTGCCTCCTCCTCTTCCCCAATCACTCCAGAGCCCCGGGCTCCTCCCCACAGCAATTGCAGCCCTGGAGGGGGACCCTGCAGTGAGCACAGTGGCCGCACCAGTACCCCTAGTATCTCTAACAGTCAACCCAGTACGCCAGCCCCAGGCCTGTCCGCAGCGCTCCAGGACCCCCACATGCTGCATCACTGCCAGCACTGTGACATCTACTTTCCAGACAACATCCTCTACACCATCCACATGGGTTGCCATGGCTATGAGAACCCATTCCAGTGCAACATCTGCGGCCACAAATGCAAGAGCAAGTACGACTTTGCGTGCCACTTTGCCCGCGGCCAGCACAAGTGAGATGAATGAGGAAAGCTTTCAGTGAACTTTTACTGGACGCCTTTGGTTTATTAAATCCAATGTAATTTTATTTATTGGTATTTTACTTGGCCTTGATGTAGCCTAGCCTTTAAAAATTGTACTTATACAGGAGAAGTCAACATTCATATGGTTTCATTTTAAATAATTAAGGTGCCCATTTGAGTGTATTATGAAGGGATGAGCAGTGTTTTTGATAAGTTGAGAATTTATTTGTGGTGGTGGAGGTGGAAGGAGTCACATGCTGTCAGAAATTAGAAAACCTAGTTCCTTACTTAGTCTAACTAATCTCATTTGGTGTAAAATATTAATTACATTTCAATTAATTAACTTAGCCTTTTTTTTTAATTAAAAGCTCAAAAATGAAACCATGCACATTCTGTTTCTAAATGTAAATTTTTTTTCTTGTATTGAACGAAGAATACAAGCCCCCCCCATATATTTTCCTTTATGGAGGTTAAAAAAGACTGTAGCTCACCAGTGCCTTCCAAGAGAGTTACAAGGGGGAAGGGTGTACTCACACAGAAAACTGGTTCAGACTCTCAACAGCGTGCTCCTCTTAAAAAAAAAAAAAATGCACATTTCATAAACAGTCTTTTGCAGGACAGATCTGAGTGGGCCTCCCAAATTAATTCTCAACTCTCCTGGAGTCATATTGGCTGAACTCAAAGGAGTCAAACAGCTGACTTCCAGTGGTCTTACTTAAGCCTTGTTGAAATTATTTTAGTGCTTGGTGCATTACTATTATTTCTTTGCAGTGCCTGATATTGTCACTTTCTTGTTTGTCCAATATAGAGAGGACAGTTACTATGAAGAGTAATAGATATTATTACAATATCCTGTTTAGGCCTAGAACCTTAGGACTCAAGGTTGGCCATTGTGGTTTTATATGGTAGCCATGTGTTTTTGTTTTTTCCTAAAATTCTGCTCCATGAATGCTGCTAAGAAACTCTGGAATCAATACAGATGGCATCCACAGTAAAACCTGGCCAGACTTTGTATCAGTGGTTTTTGATCAGCCAGCTAAGTTGTTAAACTTTTTGTTGGGAGTCATGTTGTTTTGAAGTTTGTCCACACAGTGCCCTTCCTTGACCAGCATCATGGTAACATTATTCATTTTGCTAAGGTTTTGTATATCCTTTTAAATATATTTCACACTCTGGTCTTTTGATATAGTATGAAGTCACTTTGACATCCAGTATCTCCGTGTTTAGGACAAGAGTCAACAGGTCTTGTCTCATGTGAGCACTTTTTCAGAATTGCCATGTAGCACTCGAGGTGCAGCGTTTTAACTTATGTGATTAACACTGGGATTCCTCATTTAACATATGGATCTCAGTGCTTTTCTGAATATTTACTGAGTATTGTATTCTGAGTGGTCGGATAGATGTTCAGTGTCAAAAAAGTCAAAATCATGTTGCAGTAAGACTGCTAGGTTAGCAAGATTGTTCTTTGTCTTCTGTACTGTTGTCTTTTGCTTAGCAACGTGTGTGTGTGGAGAACAGTTGCAGTTTTTAGGACCACCTCCTTGTCACCTGTGTGGAGAACAGTTACAGTTTTTAGGACCACCTCCTTGTCACCATGCTTACCAGTAATAGGGGCATCTTGTAATGACTGCCTTATGTTCTCTGTGTGTTGTAGGTTCAGTGGTGAATGTTCAAGCCTTCTGGCTGAATCTCCTCCCTCTGGGATGGCAAATCATTTTATTGTGAGATGGATTACTCTAATTTATAAGTAAAGTGTTTTCTAACTGAGGTGCACTTTGTTTGCTTGTTTTCCATCTTTAAATTTCAGAACAGAAATCGGGAAAAGTGATATTGTGGTTGTTTATATTCTACTTGAATATGACAGTGAAATACTCAAAGATTGTCTTTTGATGATGCTTTTAATCAGGTAAAGCAATAAAGAGAGAAATGGTGAGTATAATTCACTGTTACAATGAACAGAATGGCTAATGATTTGTAAAGATGACTGAAGCAGCTTTAAATTAAGCCTTGTCCTGCTTATGAGTCCCTTCTTCCTTTTTCTCAGGGTCTGGCAAAGAGAAACAGTGAAATGTCTTATTGTAATGACTTTTCTTAATGCTACCCTAACATAATTCTTCACTCAGTTCACTGTTGGTATCATAACCAGGTACAAATGACTACAGACCTTTGAGTTGGATTGGACCCAGGACCAAAGTTTGGCTGTCATGTTTTGACCCCAGATCTCTGGCCTTGCGTTTGGTGCAGCCACGGCGGCAGCGGGAGTTGTAGTCAGACTGTGGACATATCAGGACCTTGCACTGGATGTACACAGAGTCTGTGGCTCGCAAGAACTGAAAGGTCCTAAATGTGAAGCGGGCATAGGAACGGGTGCCAGTGACATAGGCATGGTAGGTGCTGTCCATAGTACATCTAAAGGTGAAACGGAAATGGTTACTGGTCAACGCAGGTACTGTGAATATGCAAGGAACACAGATGATACAATGGAAAAATACTATTACAAATTAGTCTTATTAATTAAAATTCAGTAAAGTATCATTAGTAAAATGGACTACAATATCAAAAGTAAAAGCACTATTCCGCTAACTGATCAAATTGTTGGTAATGATGCATGTTAATGTTATTTATAGTCTTATAATTAAATGCTTTATATATTATGTATAGCTGTAAAATAAATGTAGAGTGGAAGTATAAAGTAACAGAAAATGAGAATACATAAGTACATCAAAATTACACCATTTTAGTAAATATAGTTTGAACGACTGTAGAAAATAAGCAGAAGAAACCAGAGCAGGCTCGTTACTTTTAATCTACATGGCTTTCTGGGAGTAATGACACAAGGCACACTCTTCATCTTACCCATTACGGACCAGGTAGTAGGGTCTGGTCTGGAAATCGTGGGGCGATGGTGAAGCCACACAGGTGTCAAGAAAGAGGACCAGGCTGCTGTCACTTCTTCCGAAGTCCACTTGCACATACAAGTTCTGGTTGAGTGTGACCACATATGGCACTTGAGTCACCTGAGAGTGAAAGCAAAATGTCAGCATCACGTCTAAGTATTTATAATAGTTATTCTCTGAACAAACAGCCACCTCAGTGCTACTCAAACACACCTGAGAGTAGAAGCCACTGGATGTGTAAAAAGCCATGCTGGTATTGAACCTGCCTGTTCCTGAAAGGCTGCTGTTACCACGATTTTTGACAAGGTACATAATCTGGGCCACTGAGTCCTGCTCCAGTCGACAGCCCACATTTATCTTAAAGTGAGACTGGCGTGTAATCTCTCCAGCCCTGGAGGTGTAGGCACGGAGAGTGTTCGTGTACACGACTCTGCTGTTCTCAAACTGTTGAAGGTAGATATTCGGACAAAAATGTATCACTAAAAATTCTGATATTTGCATTCATGTCCTTACATCACACAAATTTATGGAATTACTATGAAGTACTCTATATTAATATTTTACAGAAAGGGATGAGTTGTCTACCTTTCTAACGTTGCCGCAGTTATTAATGGGAAAACTGAAGACCACCTGGTATCTGGAAATCTGTGGTCTGCATTGTGGGTCGTCCAGGTACAAATTGTGGCCGTCATAGCCAAGAGAGTTCAGGTAAGTCTTTTCAATCGTGATGTTCATGTTGTCTGAAGAACAGTTCACTCGACCTGACAAAAAAATCATGTTAACTATAATCTTGCTGTACTTTAGCCCCTTTAATTGACCACTTGACAGAAGAGGATATGGATATGTCAGTTTATAGTATTCTGGCTGATTTAAGGATGCCCTGCTAGAATGGCATTAAAGAGGACTACAGTAATTGTTTTGTATCTCAGTACTGTTGGAGTAATGAAAAGAGACAGATTGCTTTTATGATTTGGACCAATTTCTCTGGCAGAGGCCAAGATATCCTGATTCTGTCCCTAGTATGCAAGATCCAAAAATGTAAGATCCTACAGTGCAGTGTAACCAATAGCACCTTAAATCCAGCTTAACTGTACCTGCGCTTGGTGCCAGGGAGCTAGTGAACTCAGCAGCGAACCCTCGGCCGACCACAGAATGGTCAGTTCGG